ATTCAGCAATGAAGTCATGGTGTTCTGAGACTAAATATTAGCACTAATGAGGAAACATAGCTTCCGTATTTTGTCACTCTGAGTTTCTGCTATGTATGGACAACTTCTGAACTTGGATGTAATTTAATCGTGTAATCACTAAGTGGGTAAGTGTATGCTCATAATTCAGTTTACCTGAATCCAAATGACCTCCCTCCCACTACAGACCTCTTCCAGAAGGCTGTGCTGGGATTATCAGTCCTTCCTCGCATTGCGTGTCTGCCCGCTGGTTGATAGTCCTGGTGCTATGAGTCATTTAGACATCCATGGCCATCCTTGTTTCCCAAGAAAGATATCCTTTCCCTGCAGGGTAACAAATGGTTGGAAATCTTTCTTCAAAGCCCAGCTGAAAGTAAAAAACACATAATATTTCCAACCTGAAATAGATCTGTTCGGAAAACTCGTGTTTTCAAAATGTGATTTAAGAGTTTACCAGGAAATTATTTCAACCTGGGACCGCTGGTGATTAGATCTTGCTGAACTGCAAGTGATGCTGTGCGAGACAGAGCGTTAATCTCTGATCCTCAACTTGTCTTCACTGCAGTAAGCCTGCTGCTGTGCACCAAGAAAATACCTGAACAGGTGTTACAGGCAGCACGAAGAATTGGGTGTTCTGTTCAGCTCTGCATTGCTTGATAGAGAGGTGTTGCTTTGAACCCACAGTAGGGCTGAATTGTGGGTTGCCTAATAAAGCCTTAGTTATTAGGCAGTGCAAGCGATAAAGGATGAATGATGATGCATGCTATGAAAGGAAACAGAGACATAAAAGCAGTTTAGATATACAGTCACTTAATATTAATTGGGGGCCCAGTCTGATATTTTTCAAGCTCCTCAAGTTCAGTGGCCAAGGTTTCATCTTATTCATGTACGCTTCATGTTGCAGAATAAGGATTTTTATCGATGTTTTGTTAAAAATCTAAGTACTGATGGCTGCATCTCTAAGAAACCAAATTTGAAGAGTAACTGTTATCACTGAAAAAATTTTTAATTTGAATTTTCTTGTGCATTACCCCTCTAAAGTTCAGAGAGTAAGTTAATTAATGTAGGTAAAGCTGCTGATACAAATCAGTGCAGTGGTTTAAACCAAACAAAAAATCACAGATTGCATTGAAATGTGGATATAAGCATGTTGGAATGACTTAGGTGTCAAAGGCAAACTGGACAGAGAATGTAGAGACACACATTTTGAATTAATTTCGTCAAGTTTCTGGTAAACTCAAGTTAGTACAGCAGGTTTTGCAGAGTTGTTATTTGGCAGCAGTGCTGTTGAGCTGTTAACCTCTCCAATGTCTATTCATTAGGAAGATTTACATTTCAAAATTTCCACTGCTAAATCTTTTATCTTACTCCTGTAGCTAGGGGTTTTATGTAAATTTTGCTTGCAATTGTACGTTTGTTTGAAGTGAGTGACTGCTAAGAAACAATGTTTATTACATTCAGAGTGAAGATCTATAGAGCTGCAGTCTTCAGAAGTTAATGCTAGCTAACTAATCCAGTCCATTAGCCAAAACCCCTCACTAAACAGTTGAAGTGCTTATAATGCTTGTTGCTTGATAGACTCAATGCTTTCTTGCAAGACAAGGTTCATTCACTCACTGACTTAATCAACTGGATAAACTCTGTCCTCCTTTATGTTAAGGCAGTAGCACAGATGAAGACCATCCTCCCTGGTGCCATACATGGATTGACACCAGCATGTCCATCACATTACTGACTTTACGCATTAATGACTTTGGAAGGCATTCTCTTGCTAATCGTAGAATCACAGAATCATTGGGTTGGAAGGGCCAACCTTAAGGCCCACCCAGGAGTTCAAATCCCTGCCATAGGCAGGGACATCTCTACTGGACCAACTTGACAAGAGCCCCATCCAGCCTGGCCCTGTGCACATCCAAGGAGGGAGCATAGCCATTGATTTATGTTTCTCCTGCAGCAAGTTTAAATCCTTTAAGTGCTAGGCAGTGTCATTTTTAGAAGAGAGAATGGAAATGATTCATAGAATACTGTGGAAAGGTATGTGCTTCATTCCCTTACTCTCAGTTTCTCACCTGTGAAAACTGTGTCTTCCATGAAAGAGGCCTTAAGATAATGATGGCAGAATCCCAGAGCCTGTAGCTATTTGTTCGGGTATTTATTAGCCTGTTTGGTGTTTTTTATTCTGTTTCTTTGTTTGTCTCCTGGAGGCCATAGCAGCTGAAAGGCCCCAGCTCAGGTGAGAGCTGCATTGCTTCAGTCCCTACACAAATATCCCTTGCTCCAGTCCCAAGGGCAGCAAAGGCAGGACATAATCTTCTCATTTTCCAGCTCATAAAATGACTTGTCGAAGGTCACTTATCTTGGCATCCAAGGAACTAGTTCTGTAGCAATAATGAAACAGAGTAAAAGTTGCTTTAGAACCTGGAGAAAAATATTTCTAAACTCAGCTCCTTTTAAATATGCTTTTTTAAAAAAAAAAAAAAAAAATTGAACAAAAAAATATAATAGCTTTGTGAATGATGGCCTCCATATTTTCATTTCAGAGATACTGAAAATGGGGGAAGTTCTTCACAGAGAGTGGGGAGGTGCTGGAACAGGCTGTCCAGTTAGGTTGTGGACACCCCATCCCTGGTAGTGTTCAAAGCCAGATTGGATGGGGCCATAGGCAGCCTGGTCTAGCTTTAAATGAGGAGGTTGGCAGCCCTGCTTGCGGCAGGGGGATTGGAGCTTGATGGTCCTTGAAGTCCCTTCCAACCCAAACCATTCTATGATTCTATTATACGGTTCCAGAGAGGGAAAGGAGGCTTGGTTCTGCAATCAACAGTCCTGTTTGTCTTTCCATTTGACATGGGAATTTCTGTGCTGATCTGTTCCTGTGGTTACCACCACATTCTAGAGGAATCACAAAAAACAACTTGTTGGGGGCCTGTTGGCATTTCTTCATTTGGTATTCCCTGGAGGTACCTCAAGGATAATGCTTCTTCCAGGATTTTGTCATGGCTTTTCTTTAACTTCTCTTGTTGGGATCTAGGTCCCAGAAGAGTTGAGGAGCAGCAGAAGGGCCATGTCTGAGAACAGGGGGTGCACATCCGTTGTTGGGCCCATTTGTGTTCTGCAAGTGAACACGTAGCTCCTTAGCTCCTGGGTTGCTCAATACACCTATTTGTTTTTTACACTTTTAAAGAACTTTCACCTTCCCTGTGCTTATGTGTCCCTTATTAATGTAATGTCAGCCCTCCACAAACCTGACTTTTGTAAGTGGGAAAAAAAAAAAACAACAGAAACAATTGAGTGGTTCTCTACAGCTGCTGAGACAGAGCTGAAAGGGAAATGTGTTTATCCACCACCCAGGGGTACCATTGGGATCCCAATTCCATTTGACTCCCATTTGGAGAAGGGAAGAAAACAAGCAAAGAGTTTTGCTTGCATGACTCGGGTGGTTAATGTACTGTGCATTATTGCTGTAAAGCCAGGACCTCAATCTCTCAGCTCTCCCGAACACAAACAGTCCTTGGCTTTTATAGAATCATAAAGAGCTGCCTTAAAGGCTGAGGACAAATTCAAGCCCTGATAAGAATTGGCACAGATACTGCTGTATCTGAAGGGAGTTGGAGTTTCTTGCACTGTGGCTGAAGGTGATCCACAAGTGAATACAATTGTCCCATCAAATTCTGCTGAGCATCCTGTCTCCTATATTCCTGCCTTTGAGCTGTCATGTAAAATGACGTTTTCAGCTGACTTTCAGGTAGCAGAAGAGTTTTGGAAGCTCTCCAGCATTCTGCAGAGGGACCAGGGGAGGATTCCAGCTGCTTCTCAGATCCAAATGCAACAGGAACTCTGACCCTGCAGGACTTACAATTGCTCCTAATGCCTTTGCTTTTTCATAACGATTGCAGCAGTGTGCACCATGCAATGGAAATTTGTGATAAATTAGCTCTGTAGTGTTCACTTAAAGTTCAGCATGGAAAATAAGGAAGCATTGCTTATGAGATTGAATTCTGGGTAGGGTTTCTCCAGCTATAATGAGCCCAGGTTTGCTAGGTGTGTTAGAATAGACTCTTGCCTCTGTCTCCTGCAGTGTGATTTTTTCCTAAAAGCTTATTTCTTTCTGCTTGAAAAGCTCGTCTCTTGTAGCTGATAAAATTATCTGCAAAGATTTGTATCTGAGGTTGTGCCATAAATCGTATTTACCTGTAGGATTAACATTTGCAAACATAGGACATCTATCTACAAAAAGAAAGGAAAGGAGGAGATGTGTGTGGGCTGGGGGATTGGGGCATTTTTCTATTTACGTTTTAAAAAAAGCGGATTCAGATAGATCTTGCAGGCATTTTGAATATATTTTTGCATTCGTACAAGGTGTGGATCTGCTCAGCTCCAGCGAGCATCATTAAGGCTCTTGGTGAGCCTGTAAGATACAGAACCCACGAAATCATCTCGAAAACAGTTTAGTCCTAGGAGGAGTAAACACGTGTCCAGCTGTGCTGAGAGCTGCATGAGCTGGCAGCTGAGATTTCCTGTCCTTTGACATGCTCAGGCTGGGCTGCCTTCTGTGCCCTCAGCTGCTTTTGAGGCACTGGAAGAGGGCCTGTTTTTTTTTTTTTTAAAAAAAAAAAGGATTGTCTTACCAGCAGCTTCCTTCACAGCCAGATTGTGCAAGCAAGGTCAGAATTCAGTATACAAGGCAGGATGGGTTGAGATCTGCCCCTAGACATAGTCACCTCATGGACTTAAGCTCCTAACCTCAGCACCGTGGGAAGAGATGAACCCACATGCACTACACTGACTCTCAGCCCGAGTTAAGGCTCACTCAGTTTGAGTAGTCCCATTGCAGGGGACTGGATGAATCAAGAGCTGTCTTCCTGCAGGAGCTGAATGCTGAGCACCCAGCACGTTAGAGCTGCGCTGGGATAATTGCTAAACAAACATGGCGAAGCACATCATTCACATTTCTCTCTTTTTCGATCTGTTTGGGTCTCCTGCAGGTCCCTCACCACATGAAGACTTTACCCTACTACAGCTACGACCAACCAGTGATCAGCTACTGCCAAGCCCACAAACCCCTCCACGTCAACAAGGGCTACGACAGCATGGCCCGGGAGCAGCCAGAGCCCACCAACCTGGAACTCAGTCGGGACCACAGCTTCATAGCCACAATCGCACGCTCAGCGGCTCCGGCCATCTACATTGAGAGAATACCAAATTAGGGCCGGAGGCAGCAGGGAGCTCTTCCGAAGGACCTTTCAGCTCAGAAGAGAGCAGGGCCAGGAGCTAAAAACCACCGTTCCACTTCGAGATGTTCCAACACAGACCACGGGAAGGGGATAAAGCAGACCCCGCAGACTGGAAATGCTGTCTTGCAGTACACACTGAGAACTTCAGGATTTTCTTTGCTTTAAACTTTCGAACAAATTCCTCAATGTAAATATTAAAGAGAGATTGTTGAGTTCTTATTAAAAAAAAAAAAAAATAGATTTCACTCTAGCTACATAAAGGGATGGATTAAGAGTTTTGTTTGTATATTTGATTTTTCTACATTGCACGGTTCCAGGGAAGGAGAACCACAGGTAAAAAATAAAGGGGTGGGGAGGGCAAGGGCTGGGGTGGGATGGGTCAGCCATGATTCCTTATTGAGTGTTTATTACTCTTCAAAAATTTGTTTAATGTTTTTGGTTCTTTTTCAACGGAGCAAAAGATAGATTTATATTTTCTTTTTTTTTTTTTTTTTTTTTTCCTTTTCCTTTTTTATTTTTTTAATTTTATTTTTTATTCTTTTTTAAGTGGTCGAGCACTAATATTTCAAACTTCAGACATGGGCATTACAGCTTATGTTGAACCAAAAGGACATTGGCAATGGATGCAGCAGAAACAAAGAAACTTGGGTGCATGTACATTTAAGAGACAGGCTGTACACTATGAAGGGTGCTTTTGATTTTTACTGTCATCATTGTGCTTCATTGTTGACACTATAATTACTTCTGGGTCTCTAAAAAAAAGGGGGGGGGGGAAACATGCAATGGTGTATCTCTCATATTTACAGTCCAACTGTGCTGTAAGCAAAATTAATGGACATTTGGGAACCAAAATGGGAAAGATGTGCTTGAAATGAATCAGAAGGAAAATCCTTTAAAGCAAGAGTGTTTTGGTGAAACTCACTGGCTGACACAATTTCTAAAACGCAGGAGAATGTGTAACATTGGGTTTTTTTGTTTTGTTTTGTTTTGTTTTGTTTTTTTAAATTAATTATCCTGACCAGTTAGTTTTTGTGTAGTTTTTATCAATAAAATGACAACAACAAAAAGTGGTGGAAAAAAAAAAAATAAACATATTATTTTGTGGTTGGGACACCACAGCCAAGCTACTGTTTGGATGATTTCTCTGGATGTGTTACACAGGGATTCAGTGGACAAAGGAAACAAAAATTTTATCCCATTTCACCTTCTTGGAGCTAAAGGAATTGGGTGAAGTTTGGAAAAGTTGTTCCTCCCTAAGAGTAGGTTTAGGGGTGATGCTGGGGGAGGGAAGAATGAGAAGGAGAAGCCTTCTGGCTTTCCTAAATGTTTTGTCTCTGTGATGAAGCTAGATGGGTTCAGATTAGAAGGTAAGATACATGTTTTTTTAATTGGCTGGTGAATAACACAGCAGTGGGTGTTTATTTAATTAATACTTATCACTTAGCCACAAGGTCAGGATTCAATGCATGAGTCTCTGTAAGTGCTCATTCTTGTATCATATATACAACTTCGTATTGTCTTCTGCATTTCTCACCTGAAAAACATATTTTTGTTCTGAAAGGAAAGGAAGAATGTATGTGGATGTATGCATTCTGTGTACTAGGCAGCTTGTAGGAAAACGTGGACCTGCTGGATGCATCGGAGGTAATGTATTTAGAATTAAATGCTAGGCAGGAAATGAAAAGAAAATGGAGTGGAAGACGAGGTGATAAATTTACAGCCAGCTCTATTAGACATCTCAATATCTGTCAGATTTAGCATTCCCACAGACAGAGGGAAAAGGTTGCCTGAATCAAAGGGCTTCTTCAAATTGAGTTTAAGACATTGACCCACAGCCTATTACACCAAAAGTGGAAGCTCCCTCTTTCTCCCACTGATTCCTGTGGGCTCTGGATCAGCACTGGAATACATTTCAATAGGCATCAAAAATGTGGTGACGTTCCCATGGTCCTAAAAGGTGATAATGGCAGTGTTTGTATTATAGGGTTCACTACTGTGTGCATGGCTAACTGGATGAATCCACACCTTTCTACCTGAAAATGTTGCTGGTTTTGTGCTGTTTGAACCTTGGTGCCAGTATGGGCAAGAAGCATTTTCTTAGTGTTCTTGATGATTAAGGAGGTAACATTCCACGAATGTTTTGAGGACATATTGTTGTGCCTTACCTACCTGCATGAAGAGACAGATATTCACATTGTGGATTGCTTTAGATCAAATCACGATGTCACTGCAGCATGTACCAAGCTACCTGAAGCACTGTTAATTAGCTGGTTGCAGCGATCAGACCAAAAGGGCTCTATACAAACCTCTCTGGGACTCTGGATGTAGCAGAAATTAAATCTCACACTGCTGTGGCTGCAATTAGAGCCAAAGAAATGTGATAAAAAGCCTGAAGTGTAATATGTCCAGCTCCAGTCTTTTGTTATGAGTTTCACATTTGTCTTTTGTTTTTCAAGAGTTGGCTCATGGAATCATGATTGTATTACAACTTCAGCTTAAAAGCTGCCTAGGTTCCTCATAGGGAAGGTCTTACTCTCCTCTTCAGATGGTTTTTGAGGGAGGATGGAGCATTTCCCCAGATGCCAGGTAAGGCCCAAGAAAAACTTTGTTCTGTGTCCCTAAAGATGCCTCCCCTAGCAAGCAGCAAACAGGCGTACTGGAGAGAACTCATTACTGAGTGTTTGCTAATGATGGCATCTTTATGGTCACTGCTGGGTCTGAGCACCAACGTCACAGAGCTCCTCAGGACAGCTGCTCGTGGTTGTGCAGTCTTCAGGCAAGCTGGATGAAAATCAGCCTGACCTTCAGCCCAGTGTTGTTGAACTCTGTGCTTCACGAAAGACAAAAACTGATGGAACCAAATAACAGCTTCTGGGAGGTGTTGAGAGAAATTGACTGCTACCTGGCTCTCCAGCTTATAATTGCCTTGCAAATGTCAGCAGGGCACTGAAATTACGCTGCACTGATAATGTGATGGGTAGGAGCTGCACCCAAGGAACGTGAGTCCGTAAAAGCAAGTTTCTGTTTGGATTTATAGCTAAAGCTGGCAATGTTCAGGCCTGAGATTTAGAAGCCTTTTGGAATATGCTGCCCCTTCCCATAGTGAACTGGAAACATTCTGGAGACTGATAAACACAATTTTGTCTCAGCTCCCCACTGGGAAAATTTCCTGAAGGAATTTGCCACACTGTACATAGGAAAACTTGTGCCTTTACAGATATCTTTAAGCAGCACGGTGATTTGTCTGCTGTGTTATGTTATAATGAAAGGAATTAATTTTTAGGAGGTCCCAGCAATTGGGCTCTTTTAAATGTCTGCAGTCACTTTTTTAAACCTAGCCAGATGAAAAGGAGTTTGATAAGGCTTCAGGTCCATCAAGTCTCGGCCTTGCTTTAATGACAAACAAATTACCTGTCTGATGTAATTGCCCACACACAAGCCTCTGAATGGCTCCCACATAACATTAATAGCAATAAAGAATTATCTGACAGAACTTGTACAGTTTGGACTTGGTAGAGGAGAGATTTTGATCTCCCCACGCCTCAGAAATAGAGATTTCCAGAACACATGTTGTGTTCCCTGCTGCCTCAGCAGCAAATGTTCCTTCTGCTTTCCATAGGATTCTGCTCCTCATCAAAAATACAAGATGTACTTATCCTTTTAAGTGTAATCAACAGTGGAAAATGAGAGTAAGCCAGCCACAAAGCAGTCATAGGGTAAACGTGATACTGAGGGGCATGGTTCAGTAGGCATGGTGGTGAAGGATTGACGGTTGGACTTAATGATATTAGGAGATCTTTTCCAACAGTAATGATTCTATGATTCGTTTTATTTAAAAATCCACCTAACTCCATGCACATAGGAGAGTTAAGCAGAAAAAAAAATAGGACGTGAAATAAAGAATTCCATCAACACAGCAGTTCTGTGGCCAAGGTCTGGGGCCATCGGTGGAGCAGCAAAAGCAAAAAATTCCTCATTTTCTTCCAGAGCAGTTATTTCACTGGTACTTAATGCCCATTATTTGCTTTGATGCTCTGGTGACTGGCATTTTGGTAATATATGGGCAGGTTAAAGTAAATTCATCTACGGAAGAGAGTTATATTGGTCATTACTGGAGTCAGGGGATGCATTACACCTTTGTCATTACTGTGCTAAGTCGTATTGCAGTGATACAAAAATAAAATTACATGTGAAGCAGGCAGATCCCAGCTTCTTTTTACACACTGTTGATGCCAAGCAGCTCCCAGTGCTAACTCAGCACTTTTAAGGTCTTCAGCAATCTGCAAGCAACATTCTTGTTTGTTTGTATTGCACGATTGAGCTACAGGTAAGACAAGCTTTCCAAAGCAAGTACAAAAAAAGCTATTAAATGCATTCTTGCTTTTCTAATTTTTGTATTTTTTTCCCCCTCTAGGAGGTATCCAAAGTTGGCAGAAAAGGAAGAGAAGTCACTCCAAGCTCAGTAGTAGCTGAAACATTGCACATCTGCAAGGCAGCCTTGAGTAACTGAGGAGCTGCTGCCTCCCCCGGAGGCAAGAGGCAGATGATGCAGGTAATAGATCTTATTCCTGTTGCTTTGCTGTGGACACAACTGGCCTTGGGGAAGCAATGGCTTTTCAGACAGCTCATTGCATCAGTGGCTGCTGAGCTCTGGCAGTCCTGCTGTCTCAGCTGTGCTTCTCACTCTCTATTACTTTGCCATATGACCTTGGGAATACCAATTTACTCTTTTATTCTCTTCCTGGCTGCTAGCATGTCTCATGCCTAGCATTGTGCACCAGCACGGTCACGTCCTCTGTGACTTCTGGTGCAACAGAAATGGAAATAAGTGAAAAAGCCTGAAAATCCCTGTCTTGCCCCTTTCCCTGCCACCCCCCAGTGTTATTTGGTGTATTTAAAAGGCAAGCAAAATCACTTTGATAACGCAATAAACTATGGTAGCTCGTGACTTTCAATCAGTGCTTCGGACTCCCCAGTGATCTGAAGCACTCTTATTTGCTAAAAGTGTGTTCTCAGAACAGCAGGAATTAGAGGATCTTGATAAGCTGATGAAGCAGGGAAAGAAAGCATTTTCTTCCAAAGTCATCCTGGGAGTTGGGGTTGGAAAAGAAGGCAGCTGTTGTATACAGTAGAGTTCGTGTTTTGCTGGGGAATAAAAAAGAAAGCGTACCCCAATAGTCTGAAGCAGAATATATTATATATATTTCATTGATATACACAATATATCATCATCCTGTGACTTGTGCTTGTTTCTTCACGTTGGGTTTTCCAGGTA